CCTCATCCAGCCTGGCCGAGAACACTTCCAGGGAGGAGCAGCCACAGCTTCTCTGGCCAACCTGGGACACTGTCTCACCACCCTCACACCAAACAATTTCCTCCTCACATCTCAGCTCCATCTCCCCTCTGCCACTTTCAAGCCATCAACCCTTGTCCTGTCACTCCCTGCCCTTGGACAAAGTCCCTCCCCAGCCTTCCTGGATCCCCTTCAGGTACTGGGAGGCCACTAGAAGGTCTCCCCGGAGCCTTCTCTTCTCCAGGCTGAACAGCCCCAACTCTCTCAGCCTGTCCTCACAGCAGAGCTGCTCCAGCCCTCGCATCATCCTCGTGGCCTCCTCTGGGGGAGGTATACCTGCTGGTACCACCAGATGGACAGCATACCCAAGCTTCTGCTTCCAGATTTGGTTCTGTGAACAGTCTTCAAGGGCAAAATCACCAACAAGAAAGAAAACAGCTGCAAAAGTAGCCCATTTTTTTTTCCGTTCTGAGTTTGCCATGCATTTGCTGCTCACTCATTTCTTGCTGAGCCTGGAGCTGCCGGGTCAAGCCCCCACCCTCCTCTCTGGCACAACTACTCCTTACAGCTTGGAAGCTATTTTTTCCCACCCTGCTATCTTAAAAAAAATAATAATAAAAAAAAAATTGGCGTGAAAGCTTTTATCATCCTGAAAACATGCCAACTGCGAAGGCGACTCTGTGTCTCAGACGCCTGTTTCCTGGCAGATTTGAAGTCCTTTGCTCAACTGTTAGGCTGGCGGGGGCAGGCGATGCCGGCAGCACAGGGCTGTGAACTGCAGCTCCAAACAATCCCATGTTTAACTGCTGCTAAAGACTCAGGAGACCAACATTGTCAAACAGCGGGCTGAGAGCTAGACACACCGCCAAGTGACAGCGCTGGCCCAACTGAGGTATGGAGAAGCTGTGAATGTCCTGCACAGTGATGCTGTGCATGGAGATGGAGAGCAACCAGCTACCAGTCCAGCTCTGTTGGCTCCTAGTGGTTTGGCTTGGAGAAGAGAAAGCTCCAGGGAGACCTCATTGTGGCCTTCCAGTACTTGAAGGGAGCTTCTAAACGGGAGGAAGAGTGCCTTTTTCATGGCCAGACAGTGAAAGGACAAGAGCGAATGGTTTTATTTTAAATGAAGAGAGGGGACATTTAGGTTGGATATTTGAAGGAAATCTTTCACCCAGAGTGTGGTGAGGCACTGACCCAGGTTGGCCAGAGAAGCTGTGGCTGCTCCTCTCTGGAAGTGTTGAAGGCCAGGTTGGATGATGCTTTGAGCAACCTGGTCTAGTGGAAGGTGTCCCTGCTGATGGCAGGGGGGTTGGAACTGGATGAGCTTTAAGGTCCCTTCCAACCCAAACCAGTCTGGGATTCTGTGATTCTAAAAATTGGTGCTTGTCAGATGAAATCACTGCTCCTGCTGGAGCTCTGCAAAGCACAGTCGTGATGCACTGCACGCATCTCCAAGGGGAGGGACATGATCCCACCCATAGCTCACAACCCAAGATGGCATTTTATAAACTTGCCTGTGGCTTCTCTCCAGCTCTTGCACCGATTTGTGATGGTGCCGAGAGCAACGTGTCACCCCTGCTGCGAAGGGAAGAGCGAGAGCACAGCTCGGCTGCCGCACGACCCAGCCCTACATGGAGGCCAGGGCTCTTCTCGTCTGTCGTGTATTATTTAAAGACAGAAGACAAAAAGAAAGCTGCAAAGCTCCTGCAAAGAACAGAAGACAAGCAATTGAAGTCCTCCAACGTGCCACACAAGCTGCCTTCTGTCCCTCCTGCCCTCCAGAGACATTCCTCCTTCCCCCCAAGTGCCCTGTTCAATAGCAAAAGGAGCACAGAATCACAGAATGTGGTGAGTTGGAAGGCATTGAGTTAAACTCCTCTAAACCCTTCCCCAATGTTGTGTCCCTCCTCTGGACACTCTCCAGCAGCTTTAGATCCTTTTTCTCCTGTGGTGCCCGAACTGCCCCCAGTGCTGGAGGTGAGGCCGCCCCAGTGCAGAGCAGAGCGGGACCATCCCCTCCCTGGCCCGGCTCGCAGTGCAGTGCTGGGTGCCCCCAGGACACGGGTGTCCCTCTTGGCTGCCAGGACACACTGTTGGCTCATGTCCAACTGGCCATGGACCAGAACCCCCAGGTCCCTCTCTGCAAGAAACCTGAGCAACCTTCATCCTCCTTTGTACCCAGATGTCTTCACCTTCTTCACCTCTTGCCTTCCCTCTATTTAAGCACAAGGATGGCACCCTTCTCAGGAGACAGCTGGCTATGAGATGCAGTAAAGGGATAAACAGTGGGCTTATGGAGAAAACCACCCCAAAAACCTGATCTTGGTGCAAGTCTTAGTGACATCTTGGGCTGTTGGGAGCCATGAGCAGCACGAGCAGCTGCAGGCCATGTGCAGGAGGTACCGTTAGAGCCCAGCCTCCACGTCTGAGGAGGCCGATGCACTGCCCAGCCTGGATAACATGAGCAGGGGAAGCATGGTGACAGCTGGGGCTGGCATTCAGAGCTCAAAATCCAAACATGGCCTAAAAAACACTTGGGTAAGAGTTGGCTGCTGCATCCATGCTCTGGGCATCAGAGTGCATTTCTTTCTTCAAGATTTCAGATGCTTCTCTCTGTTGATCTGACACAGGCAGGCTGCTTTTCCAAGGTTAAGAAGCATCAGAACACTTTTTGTATGGTGCAAAAGACATTTTAGGGTGTCAAATCAGGATCATCTCAAATAGGGAACAGCCCTGCCTTCAATTGTCCACACAAAAATTCACTGGAGTTTTGTGAAAGTTGGGGTTTGGTAGAAAAAAAGGTGCCTCTCTGCTCCAGTGGTACCCAAACACATCAGTGACCGGCTGAAGTTCACAGCCTGCACTCAGGACACATTTTGGGATGCTTCCTACAGGGTAGGCCAAGCAGGGACAGGACACAAGCCAAAAGGGATCAGTATCACCCACAGAAAGCACAGGCTTCCAGGGAAGGAGGAGGACACGTCTGTGAGTTAGGCGTGATCTGCAGTGATTTCCCATGGCTTCTGTGGCACCAGCCTAGTGCTTCACTGTACACATGGAAAAAACCCATTATCTTAAGTCATTTTTTCAGTGATGGGAATAAATTCCTATTTCAATTAGTATTTACCAAAACAGGAGCCAGACAAACTCAGTACTGTGTGAAAGTGTGTTTATTCCAAAGCTAAATTTCTCCCATAAAACAATATCTCTCAACAGCAGCGTCAGTCCTTACACAGATCTACAAAAGCCTTCTGGGCTCCAGGGCTTGGGGTCTTGAACCATCTCAACAGAGCACCAGGGAATCTCTTTTCAGAGCTGTCAGAAAGGGGAGGGAAACGACACAAACCAGATATGTTGCCACTGGCACAATTTAAAGAAATTGTGCCTGCTCACAAGAAGAGAAAAGGTGTCGAGACACTTTGCAGGGAGCTTCATGTCCACGCAAAGATCTTGCAGAACACCCTGCTTTGTGCAGGCTGCTTGCCAAGGAGCAGCCGCCGCTGTCAGGAGAGGACTGCATTATTCCTGCAGACAGAAACCAGGACTGTTGGGTTTATTCCTCTAAAAAGGACTGAAGTGGCTGAGAGGTCATGTTAGCGCTGTGCTCCTCTGCAGCATGGAGCCCTGGCACCAGCTCCAGCGTGCAGGTTTGGTCCCAGTTGACACCCTAAACGGAGTAACCACCTTCTTCCTCCTGCCTCAGCCTCTTGGAGAGATGCTCATTGATGGCCATGAGGGGGTTTGCTCTGTAACTGGGGTTGGCGATGACCTCATGAAAGCGAGCTACTTCCTCCTCTCTGAGGAAAGAAAAACAACACACAAATGCTACCAGTGCCTCATGCAAAAGGAACTGAGCAGATAAGAACAGAACTCATAAAGCAGTGGGTTTCTGTACAGACAGAAACATCCTGGCTATAAAACCTCAGAAAGAAACTGCAAGAACTAAACCTCATGTACCCAAGGGCAAAGCTCAAATTGCTGCCAGCTTCATGGGAGCCAGAGACTTGATGTCGTGTCACAGAGACTGAAACAATCACGTTAGTGTCCAGCATCTTTGGGGTTTTTTTTAAGAGTTTTTCCCTAGTAAATCAGGAACAAGAGACTGTGGGTATCTGGTAAATCACCAAGAATGAAAAGTACTCCAGAGTGCACCAGCACAAAAGCAGATTCTGCTTTCCAGGGCTCATCTGCTTTATTGCTCAATGTAGAGGCTTGGTAACCCTGTGTGCAACACCAGTTAAACACCATGGAAGGAGCGTGACAGAATTACCTGTGCGTGGTCACAGCGTGCAAATGGGAGCTGTGGCAACGGTCTGGTCTTAAAAAAGAAAGGAAGCAGGGAAGAACAGAATCATAGAATTGTTTGTTTGGAAAAGATCACTGAGTCCAACCGTACCTGTCCACTGCTAAACCAGATCTCTGAGCACCTCATCTACCTGTCTTTTAAATATCAACAGGGATGGGGACTCCACCACCGCCCTGGGCAACCCCTTCCAATGCCTCAGAACCCTTGCAGCAAAGAAATTCTTCCTCACATCCCATCTCAACTGCCCTGGCCACAACTGGAGCCCATTTCCTCTTGTCCTGTCCCTTGGTCCTTGGTTGAACAGACCCACCCCCACCTCTCTCCACCCTCCTCCAAGGGACTTGGACAGAGCCACAAGGTCTCCCCTCAGCCTCCTTTTCTCCAGGCTCAACACCCCCAGTTCCCTCAGCCACAAGGGAACTCAGCACACTTGTGCTCCAGACCCTTCCCCAGCTCCGTTGCCCTTCTCTGGACACACTCCAGCACCTCCATGTCCAAACAGAGTAGGGGGAGTGTCAAAAAAGAAGTGCTTTTTCACATAAGCCACATCCATTGCAACCTTCCCATCTCTCTCAGACAAACTGCCAGACACACATCTCCATCCCCACATTCTCAGGAGCTGCTGTGGCTCAGCAGAGTGCTCTTCAGCTTCCAGCTGATTCCCTCCCTAGTATGGCTCTTCCCTTCAATGCCAGCCCTGCCCCTGCCAGAGGAAGAGCTGAAGCTTGGGTTGTGGCAGTTGGGGCAGTAAGGTGAGGCTCCCTAAGGAGCCTCCAGTGCTAACTAACATCCTGGAAAATAAACCTCAAGACCTTCCTCCAAACCTTTTCCCTCCCCAGAAGCACAGACTTCCCAGACCACTATGGTAGGTGGTTTGCTGATACAGAAGACTGTGGTGGACCTGCCCATTCAGATATAGATCTGTATCCAAGTCCCTCCTCAAGCAGTGTTCCTCACCCATGAGTTCCAGCACAACGAGACACTCACTGGTGACACTCAAGGCCATGACCCTTGGGCTTCTGCAAGGAGCCAAGGAGAGACTCATTCAAAAAGGCAGAACTGAGGAAGAAAGGCATCCCAGCACTGATACAGGCCAGTTCCAGACAGAGATGGGTATTCAGAGTGTGCTGGGGAGCGGTGCTGGGATCTGTGGACTGACTGTTCTCCTCATACTGTTTGAAGTTGAATGTCTCAGAACTGACAGAAATCCTGGAAACAGGGATCACAGGAACCTAACGCTGCCAGATCACAGTGCCCAGCCCCAGGAGAGCTGTGCTGAGGGGAAATGAAGCTCTTGATGGCTGGTGGCAGTATAAAATATCCAGCAGTTTATACAGAGGAATAAGGAGTTGCCAGACCAAGTCCAGGAGTTACTCAAAAGCATTTAGTGCTTCATTTTACAAGAAAAGGCTTGGCAGATGGCAATGGACAGCTGTCCTCATAAGTTAGCATCCCAGAGATGCTCCAACAGAGCAGCTGTAGTTCCTGATGCTATGCAGAGCTCCAGGAGCTCCTCACCTACACAACCACAGGAGGCTTTCCTGAAGGGTATCAGCTATGTGGGTCTGGTGTCCTAAGAGAGTGAGCCACAGCTGGATGCTGCAGCTCCAGCTCAGTAAGCTGAGGCAAGGGATGCACCACCTGGTCGATAACCACATCGTCCGCACTGCAGAGGGACACATAATCAATGGGGACAGCCAGAAATGACAGCTGTGGCTGGGAGGATGACAGTTGGTGTGGGTTTGTCCTGCAACCCCACAGACCACACACAGGAGACCCAAGCCATCACTTTTCAATGAGACAAGGAAAGTGAACTCCTAAAGGAGCAAGTGCAGTTTCCTGTGCTCCCTTCGCGTAGATTTTACAGGAGACAGAAGCAGACTGAATCCATTTAGAATTGACCAAGTCTGACAGGGACTGAGAGAGAAGGACATCCACAAACATCCTGCACTATGGAAAGGGCAAAATCAAAGCTGCCACCTCTTCTAGGGTCTTCAGGTGTGCAAGACTGAACCACTGGAACTGGCTGCCTAAAAAAGGGTGTGTGATCTCCATCCCTGGAGATATTCAACAGCTGTGTGGACATGGTCCTGGGCAACCAGCTCTAGGTGACCCTGCCTGAGCAGAGGGGTTGGACCAGCTGACCTCCAGAGGTCCCTTCCAGTCTCAACCATTCTGTAGTGCTCAGCAGGGACTGGACACTGATAAGTGGGTACTTACAAGAGCCGGTGTTTCTGAGCTTGTTTCATCAGACAGAAGTCTGCTGGTTCTGCCTTTGCTTTTCCATGGCTGTGGAGAGAAGAAATAAAACAAGTGAGTGAGTGTCACAGAGGAGCAGTAATTTAGCAATTGCTGTGGAGATGGAAAGAGTCCAGAAGTTCTGCATCTGCCTTCCCAGAAAGTATAGGTAATTGTCCTGGATGGAAATTGTCCTGAAAGGCAATTGTTTCCATAGCCAGACAGTAATGGAGATGCAAACGGCTTCCACCACAGACTGACAACAGCTTAGGAGGCAGGGCTGAATGGGCAGGAGGCAAATGCACTGAAGAAAAATTGGATCACTTGGTCCTAGAACTGGTCATTACCTGTCCATGCCCAGGTCACTTTCTGCTAATCACTAACCTCCAGGTCACACTGATACCCTTGCTTAGAGAAAAGATCCCATTGAACTTCCCCTGACCACCAGGCACGTGTCACCTCTGCACATCTCATGTTCTTTGCTAAGGCTGCTGAGCTCCCGCATCACAGAATCACAGACTGGTGGGGGTTGGCAGGGACCTCAGGAGATCATCCAGTCCAACCCCCCTGCCAAAGCAGGGTCCCTACACCAGGTTGCACAGGAAAGCATCCAGGGAAGTTTTGAACATCTCCAGAGATGGAGATTCCACAGCGCTACTCATCTTTTGCTTTCTGACAATGCAAGAATTACACTTAAAATATACTTATTAAAAAAAACCTGTAAGATTGCCAAATTAAGTTCTCAAAAGTAAGGAAGTACCAGAACTATTCAATTTGCCTCCATAACCCTAATTCACTGTCCATACATATATATATTACACACACACACACACACACACATTAAAATAATTAACATTCACGTCACTGAGGCTGTAAGATGTCACTTATAATTTCAGATAAAGAATGGAGAATGGGAGAATTCCTTTCTCCCTGTGAACACATATGCTCACCAAAGGTTTGCCAGTTTAAGTCAGCTGCGGGTTAGTGAGAATAAAAGCCCAAGAACAGAGCTTCAGCTTTGGCCACCACACACAGATTCTAAGAACCCCATGAAGTTACGAGACGATGGACCTGCAGAAACACAGGACAGTGCACTATGGTCTGGGGTGGTCAGACACTGGAACAGGTTGCCCAAGGAAGTTGTGGCTGGGCTCCCCTGGGAGGGGTTGTTGAGGCTTTGAGCAACCTGGTCTAGTGGAAGGTGTCCCTGCTGCTGGCAGGGGGGTTGGGACTGGATGAGTTTTCAGGTCCCTTCCAACCCAAACCATTCTATGATTCTCTGTGCAGCTGAGGCACAGCAGCAAGCAGAGACCTCCACTCTCTGCACCCATTTCTTACTCCTGTGCAAAGTCCAAGGAGAGCAGAGGTGTAATCCTGTCCTGCACAGGATGCTGGAAGCATGTGGTGCCCAACGCCGAGCAGCACCAGCAGAGATTTACCGCAAAGCCAAGTGCTGAGCCCTAGCAAGGGACACGCAGGGAAGGGCAGCGAGGGCTTTTGAGACTTGGAAGTGCACAAGGGAAGAACTGCTGGTAGAACTGGACATGGAGGGAAGGAGAAGAAACTTCCATTCTTCAGGATGACATGGATACAGAGACAAACAGGAGAAGCAAGTGGGGAAGAGGGTCTGCTTCCACAGAGCAGCTCCCCTCCGAGTCGCCCGGGGGCTGAGCCCCAGCCCAAGGTGGGATGACGGTCTGCCTCCGACCCCTCTGCTGGGACAGGGCTCAAGGAGGAATCTTCCCTTACTGGTGGGTGCTGGGGGCCAGGGCCTCCCCCACCTGAACTGATCCAGAGCCCTTCAGCTTTCTCAAGGTTAGGAAACATGACAGTCCCCCACCCTCAGGACAGCAGGATCTGCTCTCTTGTTGGCAGTGTTACACTGACCTCCCCTTCCTATTTCCCTCCTGCTACCCTCCATCCTTTTAATTCTGAATTTTTCCCCCTTCTTCCTTTCCTCCTCCTCCCATGCCCCATATTCCTTCATGCCACTCACTTTCATCATCCCTCTCTACTCGATCAGCTCCTGCTCCTTTTCCTCATCCCTCCCTCTCCCCATCCTGGCCCATTTTATTTTCCCTCAAGTGGGATCCTGGTGGACCCAAGGTGCTGAAGGCTGCTCTCACCACTGCCCCACTCACATCTGATTCACACCTCAGCCCAGGACAGTGTTCCCCAGCATCAAAGCTCCTGGCCAACCAAGACAAACCCATGAACGTATGTCAGCCAACCTCTGCAGCACAGAGCCCAGGCAGCAAACAGCAGCCAGGCAGATCAATGCCCACATGCTGCTCCTGTCCCCTTTGGTCCCTCTTGAGGTCACACCAGCACCGCTGGCATTACACAACAGGCCTGAGAGCTCACGAGGAGCAGCAATCAGCAAGAGCAGACAAACAGCTACAGGGCGTCCAGCAGCTCCTGTCACGCTGCTGTGGCCACCGGTACTGCAAGACACAGAAAGAGCAGGAAGCATCTCTGCACAGGAGAAAAAGGATCTAAAGCTGCTGGAGAGTGTCCAGAGGAGGGACACAACATTGGGGAAGGGTTTAGAGGGGAAGGGTGTGAGGAGAGGCTGAAGTCACTTGGTTTATTGAGCCTGGAGAAGAGGAGACTGAGAGGAGATCTCCTGGGGGTCTAGAACTTCCTCCCAAGGGGCAGAGGAGGGGCAGGCGCTGATCTCTTCTCTCTGGCCACCAACGAATGCCAGGAGCAGAGGACATGGCAGGAAGATGTGGCAGGGGAGGGTGAGGTTGGCCATGAGGAAAAGGTTCTTGAGGCACCCAGAGGGTGGTGGAGCACTGGCACAGGCTCCCCAGGGAGGTGCTGATGGCACCAAGCCTGACAAGATTGCAGCAGCATTTGGCCAAGGCCCTCAGGGACATGGTGTGAATGTTGGGATTGTCCTGTGCAGGGACAGGAGTTGGACACCATGATCCTTGGGGGGCCAACTCACAACATTCTGTGATTCTATGATTCTATGTCCGTTAACTGCTCAGCACAGGAACAACTTCTTGTCCCAGTTTGCCAGGATCGCTCACAGAAGCACAGAGAAACCCCTTCTCAAGTTGGATGGCAACCCATGGTCATCAGAGCAGGGGCTTGCCAAATCCCTGTGTGTCACCAAGTCTCCATGGCAGTCCTTTCAAAGATGAGCAGCTCTGCAGTGGGTGATGCTGCTCAAAGGAAAGCCTTCCTGGATGGAGAACATCCCCTACATCCTGGGCTGTGGGAGACCACATGCCCCAGAGGCTGTTCCTCTTGGGAGAGCTTCCTCTGCAGCCAGGGTGTGGAGCAAACCCACTTTTGCCTTCAGCCACCCCACTATGTGAAACAGCTCGGTGCTTCTGAAGGCTTTTCAGGTCCACTCAACAGCTCTGCCCCACTGATCTGGCAGGTTCGAAAGGCTGCTGCCTGAATTTCCCCCACCAAACCACCAGCACCGCTGCCTGCTCACTTGGCCCGTGTTTCATTACACTTCATTGCCTCCATTCATTATAAACCAGAATAAAGCCCTCACTGTAATGCTCTCAGACCCAGCAGGAGATCAAATTCCTGGAGAATCTAATCTTTTATTAATAATGCTGACAAATCACCAGAGTATTACCCTTCATTTATGGAATGATCCAAATCCTATAAAAGCCTCCTCTGATTATTTCAAACACTTCTGCACACACATCTCCACGCAGTCCAGGAAGCCACAAGCCAGCAAGGGGAGGAAGCGCCGTGTGGCTCCTCCATGCCAGTGCCAAGAGGGACTGCTTTTTGGGTGGCATGTCACAGGCCATTGGTGGGACTCTGGTCAATGCCAAGCTCCCACCTGCACTGTGCCAACTACAGAAGGTGCTGGGCAATCTCAAATTCTCAGCCAGGGCTGGGCTTCTCAACCCTGCCGTGCCACAGCCCCACTGGGCTTTTTAGACACCAGAGTGTCCAGCAGCTGAAGCGGAAACAGAGCCAGAGGATGAGCTCAGGCTTCCAGAAGGAAAGGGCTGCCACGCTCCCAGAGGAGATCTGGGTCTGGAGAGCGCTACTCTGAAGATGTCAGGCTAGAGGTTCATGCAAGACCACTGAACAGTTCCACATGTGCCACACATCCTCTGCCACAAAGTGTCCTACAGAAGAGAAAAGTGTTTGCAGTACCTGGAAGGACCATTTTGGCCGGTGTTCTGCCTTGAAGGAGCCCGCAGCAGATGGCCAGAGGGATAAGACCCTGTGTCGCTCCTACAACTCCTAGGACATCTGGTTGCTCCCAGCCTATCTCATGTTAAGCCTCAACTGAACAATACAGTTCCCTTCTTGGCTGTGGATTCAGCTTTTTTCCCACTTCAGCTTTTTCCTTGTGGTGTCTGAAGCATGGACAGGGGTGGAATGGAGTTGAGAATGAGGCCCTGTCCTCCTGACCATTGGCACCGAGCTTGCATTACCTGTAGCTAAGGGCAATGCTGAGCTGAAGGGCACTTCATCTTGCAGGAAGAAGGGAAATACACAGCCCATCCCTAAAGTGGCACATACCTCCTGGGTGGCTTCCTGCCCCTGCCACCTGTGGACAGGTCACAGAGCTCAGGTAGGGCGTCCATCAACGGCTGCATGTCTCCCACCACAGGTGTTGCCTTCCGCTTTGCTTCAGCTTTTTGCTTCTGCTTGGCCAGCTTCACGCTTTCTATCTCTGAACCAGAAACAAGACATTAGTGGAGGAAGGGAAAGTGTTTGCAAGAGATAACCCTTGAGCTAAGAAATCCATAGGCTGCTTCACCATCTACAGGAACAACAGGTCTGAGGTGATTTAAACCAGGGAAAGACAGAATCCCAGAACTGCCTGGATTGGAAAAGCCCTTCAAGAACATGGAGTCCAACTGTTAACCCAACACTGACAAGTCCCTGACTAACCCATGTCCCTCAGCACTGTGTCTACACGACTCTTCAATCCCTCCAGGGATGGGGACTCCACCACTGCCCTGGGCAACCCCTTCCAATGCCTCAGAACCCTTGCAGCAAAGAAATTCTTCCTCACATCCCATCTCAACTGCCCTGGCCACAACTGGAGCCCATTTCCTCTTGTCCTGTCCCTTGCTCCTTGGTTGAACAGCCCCACCCCCACCTCTCTCCCCCCTCCTCCAAGGGACTTGCACAGAGCCACAAGGTCTCCCCTCAGCCTCCTTTTCTCCAGGCTCAACACCCCCAGTTCCCTCAGCCACAAGGGAACTCAGCACACTTGTGCTCCAGACCCTTCCCCAGCTCCGTTCCCTTCTCTGGACACGCTCCAGCACCTCCATGTCCTTCTTGGACTCAGGGACCCAACACTGAACCCAGCACTCCAGCTGCGGCCTCACCAGTGCCCAGTGCAGGGGGAAGAGAACTACCCTGGTCCTACTGGCCACACTGGTGCTGATCCAGGCCACCCTCTCATGGCCACCTGGGCACTCTCCTGGCTCATGTTCAGCCAGCTAACAGAATCACAGAAGACTGAAGATGTATCAGCTGGGTCGTTCCCTCCCTTGCTGTGGTTGCTCATAAGCTCTACACATCTCTGCTGAACTCCGCAGGCTGATTTTTCTGAACTGTTTCCATCCCTCGCACCGTGGGGCATGAGACTCTTCACTGCTCACAGCAACAGGGCACAAGAGTCCTGAGGTAGGAGAAGCCACGCTGACCTTGCATGGAGTTGGGAGAGAGAAACAAGAGGGGAAGAGACAAACCAAATGCAGCCAGCTCCACATGTGGCATTAAATAGTCACAGCCCCGTCTCTGCTTTGCTGTTGGGACAACACAACGGTCTCCTAGCACAGGCGAAAAAGATGGGACTTGGTTTCAGTTGTTTACTTCGTTTGGAGCAAGTCAAGGTCTCACCTTCATGACTCATGGTGGAGCTCGAGCAGTCAGACGCTGGATAAACTGGGCCTTTAGGAAAGCACTGCACTGACTGGAAGGCATGGAGGCAGCTGGCTTTTCCTCCAGACCATGTTCACCAGCCTTCCTGCAGCAGCTCTGAGCAAGGCTGTGGGCACCTCAGGCTCTACAAGCGTTACAGCAGTCTCTCTTCTCAGCCATGGGAGATGGGCATTGAAAGCCACAGGCTTCTGCCTCAGTCCTCAAGGATCCCTGGTGTAGAAACAGGTCCCTCAGTTGCCCAAGCTTTACAGAGCCAGCAGCCCTCAGGACAAGCCCCAGCAGAACACATTCTCCTCCAGGACAGCCCACAAAAGCCCAGCACTGCTACAAGACTCCAGTTGAGCTCCAAGATGCCCCAATCTGTCCCAGAAGTCCCTTGACAATGCCACCAGAAACAGCTAGAGCTCAACAGGATCCAGGAGCTCCGTTTCCTTCTGCCAGGTGATCACCAGGCCTGGAATCCTGCTGCACTGCCTTGACCTCTTTAAGGGAGGCTCAGACTGGATGCCAGGAAAAATTTCTTCACTGAAAGGGTTCTCAGGTACTGGAACAGGCTGCCCAGGGCAGTGGTGGAGTCCTCATCCCTGAAGGGATTTAAAAGATGGGTAGATGAGGTGCTCAGAGATCTGGTTTAGCAGTGGACAGGTACAGTTGGACTTGATGATCTCAAAGGGCTTTTCCAAGCAAATGATTCTATGATTCTATGACACCGTGAGGGGTACCAGGGCTGTGGGGTACATGGTGGAGGACTCCACCTCCTCCATGGGCACCCGGCGGAGGCCGCGGTGGAAGAGCAGGCTTCTGCTCATTGCCTTGAACAATATGTGTCTTGCAGGGACCAGACTCAGCGTTGAGCTAGAAACTCCGTGTCTAGACATGATGGAGCACAGTGCCAGCAGCTGTGGGGCCAAGCTGGTGACACAGGGAGGCCAACGGCTTCCCATGCAGCATGGCCACAGAAGCAGGACTAAATCAGCACAAGGATTTTTGGTGGGAACGTGAAAGCAGACAGTCCTGTTCAACAGACCCCAGGCAAGATGCCACCTGCAATCCTGGGTCTAACCCTGCTGCCCATATTCAGGAAAGCAGAACTCCAGTTCACCTCCAGTTCGACTCCAGAACTCCAGTTCAACTCCAGTTCAGCTGCTGGCTCCTTTAATACCTTTGTCTTGTTCGCTCCCCAACTCAACTGAGTCAAAGAGCAACAGTTTTTCATGAACTGCAATTCTGCTGTACATGGATGTTTGTGACAAATCTGGATTGTAAATGCTTCTCCTCACAGCAACCCCTGCCAAGAACACAGCTCTCTGTTCTGCATCACTTCTTTTTTTGGTCTGGCTTTATGTAGCTGACTACTTCAGTGCTTTCATAAACAGTATGTGCTCAAAATTTTCAGACACCTGATTCTGCGCAAACATCCCAAATTCTTTTCCTATGAAGTCTTGTTCGTCTGAGGAGCCATGCGATATATATATTTTTAAATGTGCATACTTCTAATGTCTGAAGCATTGCATAATTTTTTTTCCTTCTCTAGTCTCTCCTGAAATGATTTATTGGAATGGAAGAAATCTCCCAAGTTTCGCATTTGCACTACTGGGCTGAACTTTATTTCCCAGGGTCTTGGCATCCAGTGTCACAAAAGGAGCCCTGGGACCAGAAGAAACAACAAACTCTTGGGAAGATTTAGGAAAACAGAGATGTAACGATAACAACTTCAGCAGTCCAAGTTGGGTTCTCTTTTGGGGGTGAGGGGAGCAGATAAAGACTGCAAAACCCACAAAGAATTGGCATCAGATGAAAATCAATGCGTTTCAGTTGACTACAGCTCTTAAAGGTCACGATGTTAGAATGCCAAGTTTCATTTAAAAATTGCTATCTCTGGAAATACCAGTTCATTTTGGTCCATCAGCTAATAATAATAAAATCAGTTCTCCATTGAGGTTTCTATAGGCTCTTTCCAGCTATTCCATTTCTCGATAGCAAGCTGCTCACCTGGTACTAGCAATTGCTGACTGCAGGGAGGTGGTGGAGTCACCTTCCCTGGTGGGATTTAAAAGCCAGGTAGATGAGGTGCTCAGAGATCTGGTTTAGTAGTGGACAGGTACGGTTGGACTTGATGATCTGAAAGGTCTTTTCCAACCAAACGATTCTATGATTCAAATCCCCAGGCACTTGCTACCCTTAGCAAAGCATTTGCCAACTGGCCACAAGTTTAATGGAGGAGTCAAGAGAGATGGCAATTTAGGTACTTCTGTATCTGTAAAGCATTTCTAATACCTAGGATCTTCTAAGACAGAGCTCATGTGACCTGGAGTTTTCTATATTTCTATATTTCTCCCCAAAGCAAAGCCTCTGCATTTCATTTGTATTTCCCAAGCTTAGCAATTCCAGAGCCAAGACAGGAGGAAAGAGGCCACAGCAGGGCCAAAAAAACCATATGTGAAACCTTGAGAAAGACTGATGGCATGTAGCAACAGGACGAGGGATAACGGTTTGAAAGTAGAAAAGGGGAGATTTAGGTTGGATATGAGGAAAAAGTTCTTCAAGATGAGGGTGATAGATCATTGGAACAGGTTGCCCAGAGAGGTGGTGGAGGCCCCAGCCCTGGAGATATTCAAGGGCAGGTTAGACGGTGCTCTGAGCAACCTGCTCTGGTGAAGATGTCCCTGTTCACTGCAGGGGGGTTGGACTAGATGAGCTTTGAGGGTCCCTTCTAACCTAATACATTCTATGATACTACAAAGGCATGTGTTTGTTTTTATATTTTTACATATATGTGTGTGTGCAGGAGGGCAGTATCAAGAGAGTGTAGGGATCCTGCTCCTGGGCTTTTCCAAAGTGATTGACCTTGACTGCGGGAGCAGTGCTGTCACCTAACTGCAGGAGCATGCCCTTTGTTCCTTGCAGAAGACACGTACCCCTTTTACTGTGGATTCTTTCATTAAATGCTGCTGAAGATACACCTTCCTCCATGGCACCTGGGACCAGTTCTGGTTTCAGGGGAGGGAAAGCTCAGCTGTGCTCCACCAGTCCCCCACTCTGTTCCCACAAGTGCCAGACAAGGAGGGACCTTTAGGAGCACTGAAGTTGCAGGATGGACGTTAGGACTAGCACAGCCATCTATGCTTTGTGCCCGAGAGAGACACTGAGGGTTGCAGACATCAAAGGCACTTGGAAGTTGTTGGTTGGTGATGGGGAGGTTTCCTTCACACTCAACAGTGTTAAATTATCAGCTTTTTATGTAAGAGGAGCCAGAGACACCTTCACCGTGACTGGTGAATTCACAGGTTGATGGACCTGTGAGCTCAGAGCTCAGGAGCAAAGAGCATATGGTGTGGCAGAAAGCCACATCCTCAGCCCCAAACACAGTCTGTCAGCAACTCCGTTGGCAGGAAGGTGTTAAGGGAAAAGCCTGTCCAAAGAACAGCTCCAGGTGGCAGGAGGAATTTTCTCTGCTACACCCTGGTAGCACAGCATCATCTCTTACTGAGGCTGAGATACTCAAAGCAAAAATACAGCCGCTTCCCACAGGAAACAGAAGCATTTCTGCCATGGGCTGGTTTTGTTTAGCTCATATTTCACAGCCTCGAGAAAGGCCAGACTGTCTGGTAAGCGGGTTCACTGACCTGTGGCACATGGGAAAGAGCAGTAATCCAACCAGCAGCGTCCAGAGACCTCCCTCACTGCAGGGCAGGAGGGGCCACTGCAGACTTTCACCACAGAGGCTTGGGATTAGCTGGTGGCTGCGTGGGGCTCAGCTTTAAAAGACAGAGGAAAATGCTAAACCTACATGAGCACAGTGTCCTATCTGGATAAATAAACCTTTATGTAGGCACTTATATTATATGTAGAGGAAGATCAAAAGTAGGTTTGGGGCAATGACTCAATCCCGATGCTAAACACTGAGAACCAATACCTGGGACTTTAGCCCCATGTGCTGGGGAGCAGATGTGAAGGTTCCTGAGAAGCATTCAGCCTTCCCTGGCACTACCCAACACTGCCACCCACACCCCACGTAGAGAGACCCATGCTCTGTGATGCCCAGGGCATCGCCGTGCTTCAGGGGAGTACTTACTCTGGAGCCATCTTTCTTTCCTCAGCTTCATTTTTTCTTTTTTGGAAAGAACTGTTTTTTCTTCTAAACCTAGAAGAGAAGAGAGACGTGAGATGGAGCCTTGCTCCTGGACACAGATTCAGTACTGGACACTTCCCAAAGATAGCAGAGTCCATAATATTTTGTTCAAGCCTCAATGTACTTGCTGGCAGACCAGGGGCAACACCGCACCACAACTTTTAGCCCAACAAATCCAACCTGGCTCACTGTTGGTTAAGAAATAAGAAACAGGCAAGCAGGTCGGACCACCAGCACCACAGGCCCCATCTTCTCAGGCCAGGTAGCTTTTTTGCAGAAAGCTTTTTAAAAGACCCTCGCCCCATGTCCTGCATGAACCTGGCCTGGGAGGTGGCATTTTCTCTTGAAGACTAGCTTCAAGTGATGGGAGAACCTACAGGTTCCAGAATTGGGAGCAAAAAAGCAAGTTTGAAGCACATGACAGGCAAGGGAAGGACTGAAAAGGGTCTGAAATACCCAGATCCGTGGCAGCCCTAAGGAGCAGCTGATTACCAACAGCTTGTAAAAAAGGCCAGTACCTACTACAGACCAAATTCAGTATTTGGAAACCAGCTGGTGATCACTGATATCCAATACCAAGTAAAATAACATCACAAATATTTTTACTGTTGATGTTATAAAATTTTATCTTATCTCCAGTGTTTAAAACAAAATTGACTTTAGTCAAATTTTCTCCGCTAGGAATATTGCTACAGGAAATGCCAGTGGAGGAACAAGCTCCCCAAAGATCATGCTTAGGTTATTCTTAAGCCTGGAAAAGAAAAAATACCCTTTTTGTCCCCAGAAGAAAGAGGAGAAAGGAATTCAGTTCAACTCTAAAAACAATTCACTAAGGACCACTTCTCCGAAGCTGCGCATCTTTCTGGATGATTTAAACAAAGGCAAGATCATAATTTAGTCATTTCAATGCCTTAAGATCAGAACAAGCCTGCTGGGAGGCTTTTCCATAAAGCCAACAACAACCACCATGCTTTGAGTTTCTAGAGGACAGGGAGAATGAAGCTGTAGCTTTCATAGAATCATAGACTGCTTTGGGTTGGAAGGGACCTTAAAGCTCATCCAGTGCCAACCCCCCTGCCAGCAGCAGGGACACCTTCCACTAGACCAGGTTGCTCAAAGCCTCATCCAACCTGGCCTTCAACACTTCCAGGGAGGAGCAGCCACAGCTTCCTTGGGCAACCTGTTCCAGTGTCTGACCACCCTCACAGTGAAGAACTTCTTCCTAATATCTCATCTAAACCTCCCCTCTTTCAGTTTAAACCCATTTCCCCTTGTTTTGTCACTAACTGCCCTTATGAAAAGTGTTTCGCTGCCTCGTGTCCCAGATAAATACGTTCCTGCAGTCAACGGACACAAGAAGGGAGAAATAAACCCACATCTAGAAGTCATCACTGATTCACAAAGCTCCAGGATGTCTTGAAGGGTTTGTATGTGACTGATGCTGATCACCCCACGATCACCACAGTTTCAGGGAAAAAAAAAAAAGGATGAATCATGAGAGGTCAAAACACAAATCGCGCCCTGACAACGTCTGCAGGAGACACCTCGGCTCTGCCCTTCTGGCTGCCCCAGATTGCAGCGGTGCTGGGGAGATTTGCCCCCTGGTCTGAAACCACGCTCATTACTTCATCGGGAAAACAGCACCCAGCGGGATTCGTTAATGAAAATTAAAAAAAATCAAATTCAGCCAGCTGGCCAATTCTAGTAATAACATCAATTCAGATTTCTCCCCCCCTCCCC